CTTGACAAATTCCTGAGGGCTCTAGCCACCCTGTGATACAAACAGAAAAGGCTTCTGCAGGTGGCGAGGGCCATCAACGCCATCCTGCTGTGTAGGGTCGTCATCCTGGGTAACGTGGACCCCATCATCGCTGTCTTTGCTGCATGGGCTTTCCCAATTGCCAGGGGCAGGGGCACTGACAGCACCTATATCCCCTGCTGGGGCCCCGACCACCAAGCCACCGATTATATTAACAGGAAGGGGTGCTTTTCAGTACAGCTGCTTCCCGAGTTGCGAATGGTCGAGTTACGACCGTTCGCACTTACGACCAAAGCTCCCATGGAGCGATCATAAAGGCGGTCCCCGAGTTACGAACGCGACCCACACTTACGAACAGCGCAGTCGCGTGCATCTCAGTGGGGTCTGAGTTACGAACGGTTCGAGTTACAGCCAAGTGTTTGGTCCGTAACTCGTTCATAACTCGGGGAGAGGCTGTAGTCCGGCAGGCCCTTGTGGACCAATGGGGCCATTTCACCAACATTAACGATGGATGGTCGGGGAAGGCGCACGATGCCCATGTCTTCAGAAACTCTAACCTGTTTCAGAAGATGCACACTGGCACATTCCTCCTCCCACCCCCCGCCCATTCCGTCAGGGGCAGGGACGTGGATATGCTGATGTGCATCATGGGGGACACAGCAGACCCTTTGCTCCCATGGCTGATGAAACCCTACCCGGGACACCTGGACCCTCCCAAGGAATGTTTCAATAGCAGATCAAGCAGAGGGCTTTGCACATCTGGGAGGCCCTGAGGGAGATTTTCAGATAAGGCCAGGTATGGACACTCAACCCTGGGCCTCCCCGCAAGGGGCCTCTGAATTGCCCCTCTGTGCCTTTCCATTCCCAACCCTCTCTTCCCTTGGAGATGCAATAAACCACACTTTTTGTTTTGAAAGAATAAACTGTGTTGTTGTTGTTTTAAATTTGGGGTAAATATAACTGGGAAGACTCAGGAGCAGCAACAGTAGCAGGGCTGGGGGCGGGGAGGCGGCTGCTGGACTGCTCAATGGCAGCCACTCGGTGATCGACGGCAGTGGTGTGTACCAGGCTCTCTGCTCCAGCCCAGGATGTTGCCCTCCTCTTCCACCCCTGGCCAGGGGCTTGGGAGCTGGCTATTGGCTCAGTTGCAGCTGTGGAAGGCTCACTGGAAGCATGGGAGTCTGCCATAGCACCACAAATGAATCCTGCTGCATGGCACAGGGCTTGCATGGCCGTCCTTCTACTACAAACTGTTTCCCCTGGGGTTGTAGCTTTAAAACCTGTATGGGAAGGGGAACTAGAGAGTCCTGATTGGTGTGGACAGAGTGGCCACAAAGGCAGCTGTGAGAAGCCCTTGAGGCTACTTATTTTGAAATAACCAAAGCTGCACCATCTACACACCCTATTTCAAAACAGGCATTATTCCTCATGAAATGTGAGTTTATTTCAAAATTATGAAACAGGCTTGGTGTTTAGACGCTCACCTTGTTATTTCAAAATAACACTCCCATGTAGACGTGCCCTGTGTGCCTTTGTTCCCCATTTGTAATCCAAGAATGGTAATGCCACCTAATATCACCGGAGTGTTGAGAAGATCAAACATTAATGTTTGTGAAACACCTGGATACCATAGGGAGAACATCACAGAAGCCCAAGATGACACTGTTTTGTCATTCATCATCGTGCAAACAGTGAATAACCAAAAGGCCTGAAACATAATCTATGTATCCCTATTGCATTTAGTCATCAAAACCCAACTTCCTTCTCACCATAAAATGTTTCCTAGATCCTTCTGCCAAGACAATTACCCAAGACCTTCCTTCCAGGATGCAACCCTGCTCTTCACTGGGAGAGCTCCCATAGCCTGACTGCCTCCTTTCCAGGGAAGCATCACTCACTCCCCCTGGGCTTCTCATAGCTACTGCCTGGCATCCCCTTGCTGAAGAGCAGGAACCCCAAGGAAGCCTTTTCTCAGCTTCCCCTTCCTACAGCTTTGTCTGTCCCTGAGCTTTGGCTCTCCAATTTAGACCCAGAAGGCGTCTCCTGTTTCTGACTTCAGCCCAGCCTCCTTGGCTTGGGGATGTCACCCTGCAAACATCATGATTTGTTCTCCATGCCATCTGCCTTCTCCCACAAACCAGTTATTCCATCTGGCAGCTCTCCTGACTGGTCCTTCTCCTGTCTCACTTGTGACTCATGTTTTACAACCTACTCAGGTTTTCCCCACAATCTATCAAATTGGCCCAGATGGGTGGATGTGAACTAGAATGGGGAGCTGAGTCCAGTTCATTGCAAAAGGCACACCCCTAGCACCAGGAAGTGACCTTGCAAAATTCCCAGCCTGAGAAAGTTCTGTCTCCTGCACAGGTGAGCTTTATTCTTATCCATTGTGCCAGAGAGTGAAATCTTTTGTACTGGAGCTTTCTATTGTATTGGTATCCTGGGCTCATACCATGAAGCACCTTGAAGATAAGGGCCGAACCCTTGAATTTGATTTGATATTCCTTGCAAAGCCAGTGCAGAGAGCAGTGGGGAGGTGTAATGTGTCCATGGTATCCAGCATTTCTGGGGAGATGAGATTCAGCATTCTGTACTAGTTGGAGTCCAAGTCCTGAATATTTCTTTCCTGATACATCTCATTGCTGCAGCCCTACCAAGAAGTGAAGTCGACATTTATAACATGGAGGTCAGGCCATTATGTTCCAGGATGTGATAAAGTCTTAGCCAACTAAAGATGACAAAAAGTGTTACTCAAGGCTGATGTGATGGGAGAATTCAGTGTCAGGAAGAAATCCAAGAGCACTCCTAAACTATGGACTGAACTAATCTATTGTGAGTGTGAACCTTCAAAATGTTGTCCTATGCCTATCTCTGTCTTTCTTGGGTTCAGCATCAAGCAACTGTGCTCATCTTATATGATTGTAGTGGTGAAGTTGTAGGTGGTACAAGATAGGTAGACTGTGTCATACTCATATTGCCAGCACTTTGAATTTATGTCATTTGACCATTTCACCACTGCCTGGTTGCACGTGAATATTGAAATAAAGGACCATTTCTTTCTCCAGTCCTTGTGGAATCCCACAAGCGGAGGATCTAGTAGTGGAGATGTGGTTTTTCCATTATTTGGCATTAGTTGTGTCCCTCAAGGAAGAACTCAAACTCTTTACTACATTACCCTGCCCTGTTGTTTCTCACAACTCATGATTAACAGTGTTAATGCTACAGAACAGGAGGACTAAAATTTGGCTAAATTTTAAGCAATTGAAAAGGTGGTCTAATAACAGGAAGCCCTCGCCAGTTTTAAACATCACTACCTGCACTGCCTGTAATGCAAATTATCACTCAGTGAGAAATCAGCATAGCACAGGTGCATCAAAATGCTGTTTTGGAAATAGAGACATTTGGATGCACAGCAGTTACCTGACCAATATCACAAACCTCTGCCTGACTTGGACATAGGTTGACCATTACTTTCTGAACTTTAGCCACCAACCTGGTTATTATTGCACATGAACAGGTGATGGCAGTTTGACACTTTCTCTAGAGCGCATTTAGAATCCATGAGACCCATAAAGCCTTAAAAATTGGTTCAAACCATTGAATCCTCTTTGATGGTAAGCAGAGTCCAGGTTTCATTAGCATATGTTTAGGGTGTACACTTTTCGTTTTTAATTTCTGTTTAACAAACCTTTTCATCCATAGAATGCTCAGAGAGCTTAGCAGTGCAATGCTAGCAAATTTTTTGTCTACACATTCTACCCTCCTGGGCATCATTTTAACAACACTTAAAAGCTTGATAATAGTACATTTTCTTTTACTGTTTTCTACTTCTTCCAGTTGGAGGAGAGAGATAGAACAGTAATTCAATATTCCTCATATTTCCTTATTTGTCCATTGGCCTCATCCATGGCAGTATAGCTCTCTGAATTGGAATGTGTGTGTTAATTTGTATTCCCCTCTGCATTTTTTCCCCTGCAGGGTTAGGTCACTGAGTTGAGATAGAATAACCCCATCCCTCCGACCAGATTCAGAGCTTTATGAAGGTCGTAATAAAAGTTTGGGTCAGGACCTCAATATCAGTCATGTCCTTGTTGCCATTATTAATTACGCTAAGCATTTTCCCACGCCACTCCCAGCAGGTTTCCTTCAGTATTTTAAAATATTTTGAACAATTTTCCTACACTGACCTCAAAGTGTTTTGTTTTCTCCTCCTCTGTCAGCCAACTAAGTCCATCAGGATTTTGCAGGTGGCAAACTATCTTTGAAGTACAGAATACAATAATTTTGGTCATCAGTCCCACAATAAGTGTCATCACCATATAGATTAATTAACACTGGGGAATTTTAGAAGCTATAACTAGAAGTAGAAATTTGAATGCAAGCTACAGTTTTTTCCTATTAATATCTATAACTGTCAGATCTTTCCGCTTCTGTATTCATTGGCTTGCATTGCTATTTCCTGAAACTATGCAAAAACAGTGAAGACATGCACATAAAAATGACACCTACATATTTGCACCAAATCCAGTAGATACAGAGCTGTAACTTGTAAATAAGTAGCATTTCACCGGATATAGCGCACACACTGATTAAGTAAGTCCTTGCATGTGCTATATTTGCCAATAGTCATGTTCTGTTTGTTTATGATGGCCATGCAGCCGCTTATCATTTCAGAACTAATGTTTGTCCCAAGTGATTTTCAGCTTCAAGGAAGTGTAAATTTAGCAAATTTTTTGAGTTTTTAAATGTATCTGTGAAACTTTACCATTTCTATTATAATTCCTCACCCCAAAAAGGTAATTTAATACTTCTGTCCCCTAGAAGAACTTATGTCTTTCACGCTATTGTGGTCTATTTCTAGAAACAGTTGTGACAACTGTTTATTTTCCTGTTAGTAACAGAAATGAGTGCCAGCAGCACCTTACAGAAAAAGGAAAAACAAACAAACAAACACACACCAGAAAATCTTCTGACGGGTTTACCTTTATGAGAGAGCTTAAGTCTTGGGATATTTTGTTTTGAAGTTCCAATGACTGGAAGGAACAGAATTACTAAGGATAATGCTGTGCAGACACATGGCACTTTGAAAGATTTCATACTGCTGTTCTCTCGAGAGTCTTTTGTTGCCTTCATGATAATAAAAGCCTCTGGTTTTCAGCAAGCCCAAACGTAATCTGAAAGCAAAAAGAAAACATCTGTGTGTCCTTTGCACTGTCACACACATTTTATGAAGAGAAGCCAGACCTATAGTTAGAAAGTAGCTTAAGCAGAAGTCACTTCATTTTCCACAGAGGCATTTTGCTCCAGTATACACCAAAACACTAAACTCTTTTCTACAAAACTAGTAGGCTAAGGCTGGAAAAACATGTAAGGTGTTGGACAATATCGAACCTAGCTAACACTTAAGTATAAATTAAATATAAAATACTCATAAAATAGTCAGTATTCAAATGATAGCGTTAGCCAAGGTACTAATGTGTGGTAATCTCAATATAGATATTTTAGATCCTTACATTGCAAATTGGTTACAACAATGGTGAGCAATTTGAGGTCTGTGGACCACATGCGATCCATCAGGGTTCTGCGTGACCCACAACGCATTTTGTTTACTGTTGCCCACACGGCAGGGTTGCTAAATTCCACTGGTTCCTGTGTGCAAAGCCCTGCCCCAAAACGCACCAGTATTACTGAAGTGATGATGGGGGAGATCTGCTGGGGCCCTCCTCTCATTCCCCCTGCCTCTTCTGGCTAATTGCGTCCCAAACATAAAGGAAGGGCATGTGAAGTGGAATGCATGCTGACTGCACACAACACTAACTGAGCATCATGTGTGCCCTCTGCATCCAATCTAACCACTGCTACAGTTCAGTTGACACCTGCAAATTCTAGGTACGCAAGCGCAATTAGCAAAACTACACCATCCCAGTCTGATCGTGTTAGATGCTTATCAAAAACAAACCTCTGAAGATATTACTGAGAGATGTACTGAACCAAAATAGTGGACAAAACATCTGAAAGGAGCAAATATTTAACGCACAAGCTTTATCATGAAGCGGTAACTTATCTATATTCAGTTATTTTAAGTTTTATTATCATCCCTAAATATATCGCTGCCAAGGGCCTTAATCACACACCTCAGGTTCTAAAGTGGATGGGAAGGCAAAGTAGCAAGGAGCCTCCTCAGCAGCCCACTCCTGAACCTGCATGGAACACACACAAGGCTCGAAACACAAGTATGTAGGCTCTCAGCCTGCAGATCTCTCCATCCGCCAGCACCAACAGGAGTTCCAGCCCTGCTTTGCAGAGACCACCTAGAATCATAGAGCTGGAAGAGACCACAGGAGGTCATCAAGTCCAGCTCCCTGCCCAAGGCAGGACCAATCCCAACTAAATCAACCCAACCAGAGCTTTGTCAAGACAAGACTTAAACACCTCTAGGGATGGAGATTCCACCACCTCCCTAGGGAACCCATTCCAGTGCTTCACCACCCTCCTAGTGAAACAGTTTTTCCTAATATCCAACCTAGACCTCCCCCAATGTAACTTGAGACCATTGCTCCTTGTTCTGCCAGGCTGTTCACAGTACTGACAGATATCTCCGTCCTCTTTGGAACCTCCCTTCAGGAAGTTGAAGGCTGCTATCAAATCCCCCCTCACAGCTTGGTGTGTTGCTGCTGCTGCTGACTGGTTTCTTTCCCCTCTTCAGGCTCCTCCCTGCTTGGCCCCTCATGCCTTCCTGCACCTTGGCTCGGGGGGACAAAGTGGGCTTCCTCCTTGCTTCCCTCTTTCTCCTTTGCCCTTTCCCTGTTTGGGTGGCTCCTTCCTCGTATGTGGCATGGTGGTGGGTTTGTTTTCATTTTCCCAGTCCAGCTGCTGGGGAGCCCTGGCTGCTCTTCTCTTGCCATTTCCCCACACATTTGTTACATAGTCCACCTTGCTAGTATTTGTAGGGTGGGTGGTGGGTTGCCTAGCCCAATGAGCCCTGCACAGATAACCACCCTGTCTCCTCTTCTTGTCCTCTCCCTACATGCTTCCCATTTTCTGTGCCCTACAGTGGAGTTGGGTGAGGGGAGGAGATGAGGAATCGGGGGGGGGGGGGGGGAGAGAGAAGAGAGCAGGAGGCCTGGTCCACTGAGGTCAAGTTAAGACTCCCATCAATATCATTGGGCTTTGGAGAAACCTGCCAATGAACAAAACAAAGATGGCTGCCACATCCACTCTCATCCCACCTT